TACCATGTGGGACTGTATGCACCAAGGGCCCAATGGAAAGGGGGCAGACCAGCGACCAACATAAGTATAAATCAAGAGGCAGCGTCCAGCCATACGCTCGTTTTGTTGCAATCCATGCGGAGGCACTGCTAGAGCGTCTTGTGCGAGGTGGTCTGCAGACTGCCCGAAGTCGAAGTGGGCTGAGAGGAAGATAGAGCGGCCTTAGCTGCTAGTAGAGGTAGAGTTAGCAGGCAGCCATAACTGCACTCGGATAGAGTAGTTTCAGTGTGTGTGCGTAAGCATGTGCAGTGAGAGTGTGTGAGCGTGGGATATCCAGGGAGATCCAATGTGAAGTGCGTGTGTGCAGACGCTGTGGATACAGAGTTGGGAAGTAAAGATTTGGGCGCTTAGCCGCCATAGTCCAGCTGAAGCGAGTTTGTATCCAAACTGTGTTCACGACTTGAATATCTCGAAGCTTTGTGTGGGCGCCTAGCGCCAGTGTACCTTGTCATCTCTTTGCATGCATGCGAAGTGAGAAAGGAAGCGAGTCCGATTGCATTGGTATCAGAGCAGGTTTCTGTTGTTCCAAGCGCGACGTCGTCATCGAGAAGACGCACCTGCAGAGAGCCATCGAAGGAGGTTGCCATAGCCGTGCTGCTCCAGGCTTCGCGTGCTTGCACATGGAACGACGACAAGAGAGAGAGAGAGAGAGAGAGAGAGAAAGAGAGAGGAGCGATACAAGATTGGTTGTGTGACCTGTTGGAGAAGCTCGGACATATGGAGAAACGAAGAAGGACAGATGAGACAAGAAGGGAGTAAGACGAATAGGTGAAGAAGGAAAGAGAGATGAGGAAGGGGGGCAGAGAAACCGTCGTCGGGGGTGATAAAGAAAGAGACGAGGGATGAGAGAGAAGCCATAGCCAAGGGTGAAGGAGAAGGAAGAAGGGAAAGGTGAAGGAAGGTGGGAGAGAACGGGTTGGCAGCCATAGCCAGCGTTGACCGAGGCGATTACCGGCATTGACCAGGGTGTTTACCAACGTTAACCAGGGTGTTTACCAGCGTTGACCGAGAAGTTCATCGGGACGTTGACCAACGTTGATCGAGGTGTTGACCAGGGTGTTGACCGATGAATGTGCACTCACCCCATGGTACTTGAGTCTGTTTGTCTCTTCTTTCTGCATTGAGTCTCTTCTTTCCAGGTGATAGGAACTCCGTGAATGTGGTCATAGAGCTGTGTTGACCAAACCCACATGGGCTGAGTAGGACTAAAGGCCGTGTCTGACGACTGACTGACCCGCAGGACAAACCCTCCCAAGGAACATTACAGACCGGCGGGCTGCTCAGTGTGGCGTGGTAGGCCCAAAATCCGAGTTGTGGGCTGCACAACCAGCTGTCTAAGTCTTGAGAGGACTTGCTGATCACGTCGTCCTATTTGTGACGTTAAATAATTCCTGAGGAGTTAAGAGGGATCTCCTTAAATGCCTCCTGATCAGCACTGAAGTCATGTAGTGACAACCATAGCTATACGTCCAAGCTAGAGACCCTAGTTGATAGGGTCTCAACCGGAGTGAAAGCCAGGTGGGTTGACCGCAGGTGTTGGGCATCTGGGTCGAGGATTGTACCGAACAGTGGTGGCGAAAGCTTCTGTCGGCAGTGGTAATTTGGTTGGAACGAAGGGGAGGATATTGTGGTCCTTAGAGAGTCAATAGGTCAGTAAGTTAAGTCAGTTACGAGTGGAAGTCCAAGTGGTGAGGAGTGGAACTATCACTCGGTTGTACATTTGTCACCATGGTGGACAAGCGTAGCGGCAAGAGCACCACCCCGTACACCAGGGCTCAGGAAGAGCAGGCGGCCGCCGTACTCAGAAAGAGAAAGGAGGAGGAGGCAAAGAAAGAGTTGATTAAGCAAGCTATGAAGTTGGCCTTATTGGAGGAACAGGCGGCGAAGAAGAAGAAGGTGGAGGAGGAGATGGAGAAGTTGAAAAGAGAAGAGTATGAGAAGTTAAAGGCGGTAGAAGAAGAGGAAGTGGAAGTGGAGGAGGAAGTCCCCTTAGAAAGAAGGACCAAAACGAAATGGGGAGAGTCCAGTGGCACGAAACAGGATGATCAATGGATGGAGAAGAAGATTTTAGAGTGGGATGCTAATTTGTCCATGGGAGAAGAAGAAGAAGCGATGTTGTATGTCCCCAAGGCAAAACAAGAAGCAGTGGTGAAGGAGGCAGAGGAAGCAGAAGACCCCTTACGCCACCAAACCATAGAGGAGGACAAAAAGTTGGAATGGAAAATGCGCCTCGCAAGAGAAAAGAGGCAACGGCTGGAGGCAGCAGACAAGGTGGCGAAGGAATTGCGGGTGGTGGAGGAGCAAAGACAACAAATGGAAAGTCAGGCTGATGTGCTGGGGAAGATGGAGATTATGGCTAGGAATATAGAGCTATTGGCGAAGGCCCGGCAGGAGCAATATCAGTTGATTAGGGGCCAGGACATTGCGCTACAGTCCATACACCTGGGCTTCAGAGAATTTGCACGCAAAATGATGATGCATGTGGGCACAAAGGTGAAGGCTAGGATAGAAAATACAGAGTGATTCTGCACAGGCCCCATAGAAGGCGCAAAGCTTGCTGCTCCGAAGGCGGAGGAAGCTCACCCCAGTAGAGAGCCGGTTAAAGTAAAGTTTCCTCATTCCTACAGTGGAAAGAAGGAAGAGAACTTCGATAACTGGGAGGCGAACGTTAATTCATACATTCACCTGCAGAAGATCTTCCCTTAGGAACAAGTCCTCATCGCCACCCCCCTTCCTGAATTTTTCAGGCTGCTTCGTGAACAGTTTGCAGATATCATGCGAAGTGTAAGGGCCTCGGACAAACTGCAAACCATCCACTCTTGCCAGTGGAAGAGTGTCAGGGCACTTAAAGTTGTTATGGACGAGTTGGTCGTTGTCCTGGACCATGGGGTCACTGAGACCCAACTGGTCAACTTGTTTTATCGTGTCATGCCTGAGCCTCTACGCGGGCACTTTTTCGAAAAGCGCAAACAGCCCACCATGACTTATGATACATTGAGTAGGGAGGTGGTGCTGTTCGAAGCTCGGCCCATCCCAGTATCCACTTTCTGGCACGAGGACTTGGACAAGGGGCAAAAGTGGAAGGGCCGTACCATCTCTGGCCAAGTAAGGGCCAAGGATCATTTGATCCTTACATTAGAGAAGGTGGAGGTATGGAGGAGGTCCCGTATAGTCAGATCGAGTGGGGGCTCGAGGAGGTGGACAGTAGTGTGAGTCAGGGGAGGACTTGTGCTGCTGTCGCGGCTGGATGGAGGCCGCAAGGAACCACAAGGAAAAGGAGGAGGCCGGGCCTCTAGTGGTCAAGGACAGGGCGATCAGGGGGTTGGCGGCAGAAGAAACCGCCAAGAGGAAGGCAGGGGTCAAGGTCTCCCACAAAACCGCCTGTGTTCCAATCAATCACCTCCCAGGAGGGGTGGATGGCACCCTCGCTTGCCACAAGGCAGACCCTGGTAAGATCTGGGCCTGGATCAGGAAGTATGGCAGAAGAGGATAGACTAGGATCAATGCATTTATTGCGGTGATCCGGGGCACATTATTAGATACTGCCCCAAACATAGAGAGAAAACAATAGAAAAGCGCTACAGAAGTTGAAGTTGAACTTAAAACTTTTTTGGTTACTTGTGGCAGGTCCGAAAGTTAGAGGAACCTATAGTCGGCATCCTCACATATATTTGCACGATGCGAGTCTAGAATTATGTTGAGGGAGTCCGGGCATAGTTCCACCTAGAGAAAGATGGGAAGGTAGAGAGAGTTCTCCATTCCCTGACTCTCCTCGTAGAGGACAATCTCCCGTTTGATATAGTCCTAGGAATGGACTGGGGAGACGCAGCAGGGGCCACACTGCATTTGAGAGAGCATGAATGTAGGCTCCCGAGCTCCTCAAGTGAAGTCAAGATGGCTCGCCTATTTCATGTGTCAGGGATAGATAACCCCTTAGCACATTGCTGCCTCAGCGCTCATGCCTTCACAAGATTAGTGAAGAAGGAACAGCTAGAAGAACAGGGTTTTGTAGCCTATGTTAGGCCAGATATTGAGCCTAAGACCGAAGACGCAATGGACCCTCATATTGCCAACCTACTAAAGGAGTATGCAGATCTGTCCGAGCCGCCTACAGGAGTAGTATCGCAACCGATCCATCACCGTATTGAAATAGAGCCTGGCAGTAGAACCCCCAAAGGAGCTGTGTATAGAATGTCCCCAAGGGAGTTAGAGGAGTTGCGCAAGCAGTTAGACGAGCTCCTTGAGAAGGGTTGGATTAGGCCCAGTTCGTCTTCTTTTGGAGCGCATGTTCTATTTGTCTCCGAGGAGGAGGGAGAGTTAAGAATGTGTATTGACTATAGGGGTCTCAACGCCATCACAGTGAAGAATGCATAACCACTGCCCCGTATAGATGATCTCTTAGATCGGGTGCAGGGCTGCAAATATTTCTCTTAAATATACTTGAAGTCGAGCTATCATCAGACAGAAGTCCATCCTGATGATCAGCACAAGACGATGTTTAGGACCAGATATGGGCATTATGAGTTTATAGTGATGCCCTTTGGGCTAACCAACGCGCCAGCTAGATTTCAACGTCGTATGAATGATTTGTTTAGGCCGTGCTTAGATAGGTTTGTAATGGTATATTAAGTTGATATTCTAGTCTTTAGTAAGACCCTCCGAGAGCACGAGGGCCATCTGAGGCAGGTCTTGGCGAAGCTGAAGGAAGCTAACTTCAAGATCAACGCGAAGAAGTTCGAGTGGGCCAAGAAACAAGTCTTGTACTTGGGGCGCGTCTTAGATGGAGATCGCATTAAGCCTGAGGACAGTAGAATAGAAGCAATTAGAGACTGACCAACTCCCCGCACATTGACAGAGTTGCGGTCGTTCTTAGGATTGGCCAATTACTATAGAAAGGTCGTCAGAAACTTTTCTACCATCGCTGCTCCCCTTCGCAGGTTGCTAAAGAAAGAGGCAATCTGGAAGTGTGACAAAGACTGTACATCAGCCCTGAAGAAGTTGAAGCGGGCTTTGATAGAGTATCCAGTCCTCAAAGTAGTCGATCCATCTTTGCCTTTCGTTGTTACCACTGGCGCAGGTCAGTATGGGATAGGTGTTGTTTTACAGAAGACGATGGCAATGAATACAGACCCATAGAGGTCATGTCTGCTAGAATGCCTTCAGAAAAGGTAGCGACATCCACCTATGAGAGGGAACTCTACGCTCTCAGGCAAGCATCACAACACTGGAAGCACTACTTGCTTGGGAGGCACTTCAGAGTATATTCAGACCACGAGACGTTAAGGTGGCTGAAAACACAGGCCAAGATGACACCTAAGCTTACTAGGTGGGCTGCAGAGATAGATCAGTATGACTTTGAGCTCAAGCCTGTAAAGGGGAAATACAATGTAGTAGCGGACGCTCTAAGTAGGAGAGCAGACTACTTCGGAGCTATAGTACACTCTCTGGACATAGGGGGAGACCTGCAACAAAAAGTAAAAGAGGCATATGCGCAGGACCCTATCTATAGCGACCTCCTCAAGAAAGTGAAGGAGGCCCCGGAGTCAGAACCAGATTACCGCACTACAAATGGGCTGTTATTCGAGAAGACCGGCGCAATTGACCGTCTATGCGTTCCCAACAGTGATGAGGTCCGAAGTTTAGTCTTAGGGGAATGCCATGATACTGAGGGACATTTTGGTGGGCAGAAGACATTAGCCAACCTCATGTGCGCGTATACTTGGCCTGGTATGAAGGTCCACTGCATAGAGTATGTACGCAGTTGTAAAGTCTGTGAAAGAAATAAAACTACTACGCGAGCCCCTCTAGGTCTTCTCATACCCTTGCCTATTCCCAAACGACCCAGGGATTCTGTGTCCATTGACTTTTTTGTCAAAGTAGGCATGGCAAGAACCAAGTCATGACCATAGTTGATAGATTTAGCAAATATGCAGTTTTTGTTCCTTTCCCCTCAGAAGCATGTATAGATTTAGTAATACAAAAGTTTTTCGACCATTGGGTCTATGAACATGGTCCACCACTGTCCATAGTTAGTGAGATTTACCAGTCAGAACTGGCAAGAGTTGATGAGAGTCCATGACTCTCAAGTTGTTGATGTCATTTGGCTGTCACCCAGAGACCAATGGTCAGACTGAGCAAATGAACAAAGTCCTGCAACAGGTTTTGAGAATGTATATTAGACCCGACCAAGTTAATTGGGATGAGATGCTCCCAAAGGTAGCCAGCGCCTACAATAACAACATGCACTTAGCTACTTGTCGCACTCCCAACGAATTGCATAAGTCCTTTAGACCGCGTAGACCGTTATTCTTTAGCTGTAGAAAAACTTTGTAAGGGAGTTTGCGATACAGCATGAGAAAGAGATTGCTACCGTAGTAGAGAACCTCAGAAAGCCCCAACCCAAGATGATAGAACAAGCTAACAAACACCGTCGCTCATCATAGTTTCAAGTAGGCGACTTAGTCTGGGTCAAGTCAAAGGAGTTTGCTCCTGAGGAAAACATCTTGTAGAAGTTGTTGCCTACATATAGGGGACCATGGCCAGTCCTAGAAGTCGAGGGCGGAGAGGATGGACCGTCCTACACGATTGAGATCCCCGCACACCCCCATACATATCCAGTTTTTCACCCATCAAAGTTGTTACCTTGCACGACGATTCAACAGTTTCCGTCGAGAAGGTCAATGATTCCTCCAGACATGGACGGAAGGTACGACATTGATCATATAGTTGACAAGGATGTGTTCAGAACAGGAGGTAGAGGTTGTCCACAGAAACAGTATAAAGTCAGATTCTCTTTTCAAGAACCAGAAAACGACTGCTGGTTCACACGAACAGAGCTTCTAGACACCGCTCCCGATATAGTTCGAGCCTATGAGAGAGATAAGAAAAGGAAGGGTCCTGCCTTGGATTAAAGTATTCTCAGAGGGCCTCGACTTCAGGCCGGCGGGAGTGAAACGGTTTTCACCTTTGCAATAGCAGATGCAGATCCCAGGGCTCGATCCCTAGACCTTACCTCACCCGTGCACAGTATCCCTGTGTTTGAACCCGTGAACTACGTTTTAGGGGTCAGTTGTTGTCTGTCGTAGGTCGATGTAGCTGTCGGGTCTTGAACTGTAGGTCTGTCGAGTAAGGTTCATAGTTGTGGAGAGGCCACAGCTGTAGCAATTCTGAAAGGTCAACGCCGTAGCTGCCACAGTCCTGAAAGGTCAAGACCGTAGCTGCTACAGTTCCGAAAGGCCAAGTCCGCAGGCTTCCGGAAGGTCCGGAAGTGGCCTTTCGAACGTTGCTCGCAGCAGACCAGAGGCAAGTGGGCAAGTGGTGAGTCCAACCTTGCTTAGTCAACGGTACCCAGTCCCAGTCTCACTTAGTCCAGTCAGCAAGTACCATGTGGGACTGTATGCACCAAGGGCCCAATGGAAAGGGGGCAGACCAGCGACCAACATAAGTATAAATCAAGAGGCAGCGTCCAGCCATACACTCGTTTTGTTGCAATCCATACGGAGGCACTGCTAGAGCGTCTTGTGCGAGGTGGTTTGCAGACTGCCCGAAGTCGAAGTGGGCTGAGAGGAAGATAGAGCGGCCTTAGCTGCTAATAGAGGTAGAGTTAGCAAGCAGCCAGAGCGG